CTGTGTAGGACAGCCTGCTCTAAGGTTCAGAATTCAGAAGATAGGATAAAAGAGGTGGCCATAAGTCCTTCTGCACCTCAACCTGACTAGATCTATTGTTCTCTTCTATTTTTATAACTCGCTGGCCAGTTTCAGGTTGTCAATCAACCTCCCATAGCTTTGCCAGTGGCTCCTTAGTGTATGGTCTTGCTTGCGGTTTTTCTTGTCCTAGTTGCAAGAACCTGCACTTACATAGACCTTCACAGAAACATAGAATGCGTTGTGCGGTCTGCTCCTCTTCCCGGCAGTATCTGCACAGTGTTTCTTCTGTCTGTACTCCTATCCGGCGAATGTGCTTTCTTAAGTGGCAATGCCCTGTCAGAAATCCAACCAGATGCCTGGTTCGGTTGCAGTTGCCTTCCAGTAATTCTTTTGTAAGTTTTGCGGATGGTCCTTCTTCGCGTGCCTCATACCTGTGGTATTGTTCCACCAGGTGTTCGACTCATTAAGGATCCATTTGAAGATGCATCCTCTTTTGTGGCAGGCTGCTAGGCCGCAGTTGGGGTCTGGGCTGACATGTCTACCTTTTTGTTGCCTCTATGCTCTGAATGTCCAGGGACCCATGCCAGGGTCAGGTCATTAGCGTCGATGACTTCCGTCAGGCAGTTCCAAACACTCTTTGCCTTCGCCTCGCATGAGGCTAAGGCCCTGTAGCCCTTTTGTTTTTCTGGCACATTGTGCAATCGCTATGATTTCAGACTGGAAAACTAGCATACTTGCCTAGGTTTACCGTCAGTTTGGACTTGGAGATCATCCCAAAGACCCCAGCTCCCGTACTCTTGTCGGTTTTGGAGCCGTCAGTAAACCAGTAGGACTTTGCCTTTAGTGGTCTTCCTTTGGCCCATTCTTCCTGTTCTGGTATCAGTACTTTGTATTTCTTGGGTAAAGTTGTACTTCAGAGTAGTGGCATCAATTGGCATACCTAGAATGGCATCTGCCTGTATCTCCTCCCTCAGTTTCCATTGTTTATTTACACGGCCTATCCTAGGCTATTTATCCGTCCTAGGCCTATCTGTCTGTACTCCTATCCAGCGCATGTGCTTTCTTACGTGGCCATGTCCTGTCAAGGAGTCCAACCAGAATTCTGGTTTGGCTGCGGTTGCCTTCCAGTAATTCTGCTGTAAGTTTGGCGGATGGTCATTCTATGAATCTCTTCCCGTGCCACATACCTGTGGTATTGTTCCACCAGGTTTTTGACTCATTAAGGATCTATTTTAAGATGTATCCTCTTTTGTGGCAGGATGTAAGGGGGTTCAGGACCCAGAGAGTCCATGTTGGCCCCTCTTTGGCCAACATGTCAATCTTTTTGTTGCTTCTATGCCCCGAATGCCCAGTGACCCATGCCAGGGTCAGGTCATTAGTGTCGCTGACTTCCGTCTGACTCGGTCGCTGACTCCATGCAGTTCAGAGATATAAAAAGCCAGAATAAAAATTTCAACAAAAACACATCATTGTACTGAACACAAAAAAACTGTTAGGTGCTACTAAAGAAGGCCTAACTCACACTTTATTGATTGTTTTGAATTATCAAAAATTACAAGACAATGGTATCATCATGGAACAATTTAACTTTGGATTTCATCATGACTTTTTATTTTGTATTTATTTTTTTATATATATATATATATATTTTTTTTTTACTACTAAATAAAGTAACGCTGTAATAAAATAAATAACATAAATTGTTTTTTCTGTACGATTTGTTTGATAAAGTGCCATCATTGGCATCATATAAAAAAAAAAAAGTCAAACTTTCAATGTGAATAAATGGCTGATAATTTCGTGCATTCCATGATAAATAATTCACTTGTTAAAAAAAATTATCAACATTTTGAACAACTGATCATCTTTGAATAGACTATCATTGTTTTTATTTTGTCCCAGGTCTGTTTTGCCATGGCACTGATACAATCAGCAATTGTTTTGAATAATCTGCCATGAAAATGTTTCACCCTTTGATATTTGTTATAGATTAAGATGTTCCTAACAACGTCAACACTCAGATTAAACGTCAACAAACAATTGTGTACATATAACAAAACAGATTTTACCAGCTTACAATAAGAATGAGTTATGGATGACTAAAGAAATTGCCCAAATATAACAAAACAGATTTTACCGGCTTACAATAAGAATGAGCTATGGATGACTAAAGAAATTGCGGAATACACTTATTTTGTTTACATATTTTTCAAATCAAGAGTACATTTTCACTAGCAACACATATTTAATAATGTTACATAATTATTTCGAAAAGGAGTTGGGAAAAAAAATTCTAAATGTTTGCTGAATTTTACTACATTAAATAATTTTCCCTCCCATTGTAGAAAATTTTAGATAATTTTTTAATGATTAAAATTTACTTATATTTGAGAAGATGTTTTCCGATCCAATCCAATCATTATACCATCCTGGAGTTAAGCAATGCCTCCAAATAAATAATCGTCTTGTATGGTGGGCATGATTAAAGAGAATTACAAAATAAATTAAATTTTAACTTACAATTAATTAAGGTTTTTAGTTGAGATAAAAAAGTCAATGGCACGAGCGGGATTCGAACCCACGATCTTCGGCTCTAACCACTTGAGCTATCGTGACGGTTGAGATGGGAAGTTAGTGCCCGAAGGGATCGAAGTCATGATAGCTCAAGTGGTAGAGTAGCAGCGTATCAAGCCGAAGATCATGGGTTCGAATCCCGATCGTGCCATTTTTTTTATCTCAACTAAAAACCTTAATTAATTGTAAGATATTAATTGGTCAAGCGGACCACGAAACTAGTGAATTCAATTTTAACTTTGCATTCCTTCTCCAGCAGTTTCAGATTTGTTGATACCATTTCCTCGTTTTTGTGTACCAGAACACAAGGGAATTCAGGGTAACAAAAAAGCAGACACACCAGACAGAGGAGGATCTGCAAGACCATATAGGTCTTGAGTTAACAAAAGCAAACATAGAATATGAAGCAAAAAACAACTTTTTGGGCCGAGCTTTCGGTGGTTTATTCCAATATCATCAGGGCCTGTTTATTAAAAAACCAAATTTAACACAAGAACACACATACAGAGTAACATAATACCCAAATATCTTTGAATGCAAAGCAACCACTCAATGGAGACAATCTGGTACAAAGAAACCCAGTGCAAGGAATTTTAGCAACGACAGTCAATAACCTAGTAGTCCTTAGGAGAAGGATCGAGTTGATTGCACTGAACTAAGGGGCTAGTAACATACAATAAGCCAGAAGGCTGGAATGCTTTGGGAACAAAAAATCCCACTTCCTTGTATTCATATATCATCATCATCATCATCATATATAGAACTAAGAGTATTGCTTGTGTGGTTTCTGGCATTTAATTTAGACGATTTCAACTCACACCTTATCCATGAATCCAATTTCACTGCTTCAGAGTGAAGTGCAGCAAGAAGTTTTCAAATATCAGACCAATACAGGCCAGCATCCCACGAGGGAGCATACCTGGTCCTACACTTTATATCATTTCTACTGCTGGCTTTCTTATACATCCCAATACCATCATTACCACCTACACAGATGATACAGTGTTGCCGTCTGATCTGAATCTTTTCCGAGAGAACTCCAGCACCCAAGAACACCTTGAGCTTAACAAAGTGCAAAAAGTGAAGGACAAGACTGAATGAGGAAAAACATTCTTACCCTCCATTAAACACCAAGGAGCTTCAACTCAAATCATATATTTAGGACTATAGACAGCAGACTGATATCCCCACAGAAACTGTAAGAGAACAGGTTAAAAGAAGATTTAGACAACCACAGAAACTTATAGGATGAACTAAACTAAATGGGACGCAAAGGTTAAGACATTTAGCACAGCACTAATCACTGTAAGGTAAACACACGATATAATTTTTTCTTCTTTCTTTCAAAAACACCGATACCCTGAGGATTAATTTGATCTCTGCTGTTGCAAACACTAATTTAAAAAAAAATCTATACCCTTTGGAATTTGGAGGGGATCTTTAGGGTTCTGTTAGGCCAGCTAATATTCAATGTATCCAATATTTCCAATCAAAGTACGCAGATAAATTGCTGCTCCTTTTTATGTTACTATTTACAACAACCTCTAAATTTCTTTTGTCAACAAACTGATCTGACCCCGCTTCTAAACGTGCCACATCAAACTCTTGGATCCATCCATACCCAACCATCCACACGCTCCCATGCCTAAGCCTTAAATGATAGCCTCAGTACCTCCTCACCCATTCATCCCTCATATCGAGTGCCAGGTGGTCTTTGGCCTGTCTTTCTTAACCTGTGCATCCAGACGGTGCTGGCCATAGAGTCGGTGTTGTGACTAGGAGAATAAATTATTAACAAAAAAAATTAACTTTTGAAATGATTTTTTTAATATTTAATTTCCACTTAAAATGTTAAAAACTACTAAGTTAGTTAAGCTTCTTTTCTGGCAATTTTGATTCCATTTTATTCAGACTTTCGTAGTAATTAATTCTATCAATAATTAATATCTGTGATAAGATAAAATAAGCCATATGTGATTACTAATGAAACTTCTCCAAATTAAAATTGGCCTGAATTAATATTTAAAATTATTCATGATCTTACGATTACTTTTGGATAAAAAATTTATAATTCTATTAGAACAAAATAAAAAAATTCAGAAGAAAGTTAATATTTGTTTGCTGTAGAGTGAAAGTATTTGGACAGTATTATTAATTGGAAATAACAGCTTTGTAATGAATTTAAGAACAAGGTTTCATTATTTATTGCAGCATAGAAACCACATAAAAAATGATTTTATATAAAGAAAAGTCAATTTGAGACTTATAAGGCCATCAAGTTTTTTTGTTTGGCTTAACAGCAGACTTGTTACATGGTTATGTAACGCCCCCAGATCTATTTTCTCTACTTTTTTAATTTTAATTAAAAATGTTTTTTATTTTATTTTTCAACAGTATCATATGTTGTCAGTTAAAAAGAGTTTCATTTAGTGGTATTGATAAAACAATTTTCAATGATAGTTCCAAAAAATTTGTATTTCGGTAATGGAACCCGTCGGTTACCTTAATCTCAACCATCTCAAGTGTAAACCGGGCGAAACCGATTTAATTTACAAGAGAAGATTCGAGCTCTGGGCGTTTGCGTCACAACACCGCGACATCTACATATCTGTGAGTTCTGCCACCACTGAAACAAACAAACAAACAAAAAATTTTTCGCCAATTTAAATAAGGACAGATCAAGCGTTCGCTCTGACCGGATTTGTAGTGTGTTTTAAGGAATGTTTACCTGGATTTCACCCCCTGCCTTGATTAAAGTCTTAAACTCTCAGGGAAATAAATTCACCTCAATAAATTTTATCATTAAATCCACCAGGTTCAGTCATATTCGTGCATAATTTACAATTATTCCAGTGTTGATTAATTATTATATTTAAGTATTTTAAAGTATTTTGAGAAGAATATTTTCATGTCAAGGTAATCGGATGGTTGGATATTGTTAGAAGAATCATTGAATTTTATTTAATGCTGATGGTTTAAACTGCACTTGTTGTATGTGTCCTAAATATAAAACATAATATTTTATAATAAATGTGCTTCACACCATACTAGGTTAAAAGAGCATATTACGGCTTAATCAGATGAATCCAAAAATAATGGAAAATTCCTGATATATGTGCTTTACAACAAAGATAAAATACGTCCAACTTTTATTTACAAAAAAAAAAGTTATTCCAAATAACATATGTTTACACAACATATTAGCAATGTACATATGGATCATTTCTACCTAAATTAAAAAGTCAACACAAATCATTATGATGAAACTATACAGTTTTGATAAGCCATTTTAAAATTTAATTTAAGAAAGACTGTTGTCTTTATAAGACAATTAATTTGTCGTATAAAGTCATAAATTGAATAATGAAAGATTTTTTCAATTTCATTTACTGTGGGATTTTATTTCTTGACAGATGTGTTAACAGAATGGCTTAACTTTTTTTAAATAAACAAAAGACTACTGAATATAATAAAATAACAAATAGATCGTTTAGTGTATTTTTTTCTAATCCCCTAGAACGTGTTTGTTAATTTAAAGACTATTTTATATTGTTTAGTTTAAAAATTGTTTTATACTAGACGGTATTTAATATAAGCGACTTGTACCCTGACGTTTTTAAAAAATGGCACGATTAAAGAAACAATTTTTTGCCCCCCAAGATTAACCAAGGATCCTCGTCCAACTTTGTGACATGCTTCGGTCATCATCATTATAAACATGCACAAAAACAGATGCTTGGGATCACTCAGTAACAGAACAGTTAATTGAATCACTCAAATATGGCAAACACACATACACTTAACGTTGAATCAAAGAAAGGAACATAAATAAAAAAACAAAACGCATAACAATGAAGCAAAGGACAACGATTTTCATCAACATTCTCATAAATATGTTTCAATTCGTTTGAATATTTTCCAGTATAAAAAAGGGTAAAAACGCTAATATAAATATGAAAGAGTGCAATGGCCAAGCGGAAACTCAATAAGTGACCCTCTTTAATTATCTGATGATTCATCTAATGATAAAAAAATTTCTTCTTCCTACTTTGACAAAAATGAAGGAATTATAGACCAAATTAACATCAAATATAATTGTGATGGATAAACACAAATGGGCAATCTGAAAATGATAACCGATCAATCATTTAGAAAACAACCCATCCCAACTGTGGTATATGTCAATTATAACTATAAAACTTTATGATACATATTATAGTAAAACTAATTGTAAACTATTTACAACTTAACAAGGTTGATTTATGAATTATTTTGTTTCAGGGAGCGAGGGTTTGGATACCACACGCTTCTAAAGTATGGGAGGGTGCGAAGGTTGTAGAAAATTTTATACAGGGCAAGCTAATTATAGTAACTGATGATGGAGAGGTTTGTATTTTAAATCTATATTTTTCCAAGTTAGACCTCGCGTTAAAATTAATTCAATTTAGACGAAGGAGCTTAAAATCCCGACTGATGAAGATCTACCACCGTTAAGGAACCCTGAGATTCTGATCGGAGAGAATGACCTTACGTCGCTTTCGTATCTCCACGAGCCGGCAGTTCTTTACAATTTGCAAGTCAGGTTCTGTCGGCAAAATGCAATTTACACCTATTGCGGTATGTTTGATTAAATCAAGACATCTCGACTTGTCATGTCACTTTCTTAATATGTTCAGGTATTGTGCTCGTTGCCATCAACCCGTATTGCGAAATTTCAATATACGACTCGGACACAATATGGGCATATCGGGGTCAAGCCATGGGCGACCTCGACCCCCATATTTTTGCTGTTGCAGAAGAAGCCTATACTAAGTTAGAAAGGTAAATTTTTATGAGTTTACTAAGTGAAACGTAGTTCCAATCTTAGTTTTTCAATAAATACTTAAATGCTGTACTTTTTATTACGATTATTTCAAAATTTGTTAGTTAAACTTTAAATTTAAAATTTTATAAAATTTTCTTGCTGCTGGATTTTTCTTAAGATGAATTTACTTTTGGTTTTAACAGAGAACAAAAAAACCAAAGTATAATTGTATCGGGGGAATCAGGAGCTGGAAAGACGGTGTCGGCAAAGTATGTTATGAGGTATTTTGCGACTGTCGGAGGATCGGCTACTGAGACTCAGGTCGAGCGAAAAGTTTTAGCCTCGAGTCCCATCATGGAAGTATGTAACAATTGCTTTTATTTATTTTTTTATTGAAATTATATTTCACATCGTATTTCTCTCCCAAGGCTATTGGAAATGCGAAAACAACTCGTAACGACAACAGCTCAAGGTTTGGAAAGTTCATCGAACTACAGTTTGACAAGAATTATACGATAGTCGGGGCGAAAATGAGTACGTATCTCCTTGAAAAATCCAGAGTCATTGTCCAAGCTTCGGAAGAGAGGAACTACCATATATTTTATCAGATCTGCTCTGCTAAAGAAGAACTGAAACATTTAAGCCTAGGTTCGCCTTTTGTTCTTCAGTGATTGCGAGCAATGCAATAAAAAATTTTCATACTTACAGATGACGCTCATACATACAATTATCTGTGTGATTCTAACAATAAAATCCAAGGTGTCAATGACAAAACACAATACATCGAGACCATCGGTGCATTTCGAACTCTAGACTTCAGTAAAGAATATATCGACAACATCTTCCTCATTTTAGCCTCGATACTTCACCTCGGCAATATAAAAATTATGGAAAGTGGTGGCGGGGATGCTGAAAGTTGCACCATATCCGTAAGTGATTGTATTTATTTTTATATTATTCTTGTGTATTTATTATCATTTTTGTTTTTTAGGCAAATGATAAACATTTGCATATGTTTACGACCCTTTTGGACATCAATGCAAAAGAACTGAATCAGTGCTTGTGTCATAGGAGAATCGTGAGCACTAGAGAGGCGTTCAATAAACCCATGACGGTACATCAGGTAATTATTTTTTTAAATTTTTATTTTTAGCTTATCGCACAAATTTGTTAGGTTTTATAACTTCTTTTCAGGCCGTAGGAGCAAGAGATGCCCTGGCGAAGCATATATACGCCTGTCTTTTTGCGTGGATTGTAAAACAGATGAACAGAGCCCTCATCACTTCGCAGAAGGCGAAGCATAGGTTCATCGGGGTTCTGGACATCTACGGTTTTGAGACTTTCGAGACGAACAGTTTTGAACAATTCTGTATAAATTACGCCAACGAGAAACTCCAGCAGCAGTTTAATATGGTAAAAAAAAAGCCAACACTAGTTCCAGTTTTTGCGAATATATTGTGATTCTATTTATCTAGCACGTTTTTAAACTCGAACAAGAAGAATATTACAAAGAAGAAATTCAATGGACGTTCATAGATTTTTATGACAACCAACCCTGCATCGATTTGATCGAGTCCAAATTGGGCATCTTAGATCTTTTAGACGAAGAGTGCCGAGTAAGTTTTATCTGAAAATGTATCACGGACTGTAGTTAATAATGATTTTTCCAAAAGATGCCAAAAGGTACGGACAACTCGTGGGCAGAGAAACTGTTTGCAAAATGCAGCAAATGGAATCACTTTGCCAAGCCAAGATTTGGTATGTAAAAAGTAAAAATAGTGTATTTTGTAAAGAATGTATTTGTTTATAATTTAATTTTTTTGTTTGTTTAAGGTGCGAATTCTTTTATTTTGAAACACTTTGCGGACAAAGTTGAATATGAAGTCTTGGGATTTTTAGAAAAAAATCGAGATACTGTTATAGAGGAACAGGTAACGATTTCTGAATAATCATTGACTAACGGTCACTAATCACCACACACAAACAAAATTAAAACAAATTTTATCTGTTTGTCTCTTTATTTTTTTAAATTTGTTTTATTATATTTCATTTTCCTTAGCAATTTACATTTTTTTTAAACTTTTTTAGACAAAGACTCAATTATTAAACGTTAAAAATTGTGAAACCTTGATTAATATATAAAAATATATAAAAATCAAGTTATATTACAAGTGGGTGGAATTTTTTGCCTGTCGGCGTATACATTTAAATTACATTTAGTAATATATAAATAAAACCTAATATTGTACATAGTATTGAAGAAGTTTGCCTTGTAAATATGTAATCAATTTTGTTTTAGATCAGTGTTTTAAAATCTAGTTCTAATGACTTAATTCACAAGCTTTTAAATAATGATGAAAACTCAAACGGTGACAAACTCGCCGTTCCGAAGCCCAAAGTCAGGGTCAGCATAGAGCAGAAGTCACAGACGTCTCATGCCGTGGCTGCTAAAAATAAGAAAACGGTACTACAGAGTTGTTTTTTCTTGATAAGAGTTTCTTAATTCAACAATTACGATATTCAGGTTGGCTCGCAGTTCAGAGACTCTTTGAAAGAGTTGATGGACACCTTGAATTCAACGACACCGCATTATATACGTTGTATAAAGCCCAATGATGAAAAGGAAGCTTTCAAGTACAATCCGAGTCGTGCCGTCCAGCAACTCAGGGCTTGCGGTGTATTGGAGACCATCCGAATAAGCGCTGCAGGCTTTCCATCAAGGTGATGAAGCTTATTTATTTATTATCACACACAATATTATTGATTTTTTCCCCCAGGTGGCTTTATACTGATTTCCTTAATCGATATCGCCCTCTTTGTGCATCAAAAATGGTCAACAGACAAAATCCGAGAGAGACTTGTGAAAAAATGCTCACTCAGATCATTCAGGTGCGGATTTATTATCTTTAAAAAAAACCGCAAATCAAACATAAATTAATATGCTTTAATAATTCCTCAGGGCCAGGATAAATGTAAATTCGGGCGCACGAAAATATTCTTCCGTGCAGGACAGGTGGCTTACATGGAAAGGTTAAGATCTGAGAAGTTGCTCCAGTCTTGTGTCAAGATTCAAAAGGTCGTGCGAGGCTACCTTGTGAGAAGGCGTTACTCCAGAATGGTGAACGGAACCTTGACGATACAGAGGTTCTTCCGAGGATATCTGGCAAGAAGGTAATCACTAACGAGTACCGAGTGTTTTTATATTCAATAACGAGAATATTCTCTTTAAAGGAGAGTCGAGAGAATGAGAAAGAACAAGGCAGCTATTGTCATTCAAAAGTGGGTCAGGAGATGGGTCAAACAGACCCAGTACGAGAGGACGAGGAAGGTCATCCTTGGTATTCAAACATACGGAAGAGGTTACTTGGGTAGGAAGAAGTACAACCACATGAGACAAACAAAAGCGGTAACTTTCAAACTTGATTTTATTTCCTGAAACTAAAAAAAATAAAACAATTTTTTTCCAGGCCATTAAAATCCAGTCTGCAGTACGAGGGTGGCTGCAAAGAAAGAAATATCAGAAGTCGAGAGCAAGGGTTATTATTGCTCAGTCTGCTATTAGAAGGTTCCTAGCACGAAGAAGGTACTGTATATTTTCAATTTGTGAGGTACTGGTTGTGAGGTTGAGATAATGAACCCGTAGTTTGATCGTGTCTACCTTAGTGTTTGTGCAGTGTGTTTTACAAATCCTGATTGTTGGCGAACTCAAAAAATCACTTCATACATTAAAGCTGGGTTTCCATTGTGTGAAAAAATCACTTATGCAACTAAATACGAGAATTACTCACAAAATGCCATCTTGGGTTAATCATTTCCGTGAGAGGAAACAAGGTGCCATCGATTTGCGCGAGACAAGCATGATATTTATAACTACTCCAACTGCTTGTTATCCTTCCACACATCCCCCTCTCTCTCCCTCTCTCTCACTCACTCTCTCTCACTCACTCTCTCTCTCTCTCTCTCTCTCTCTCTCTCATTTTTTATTTTTTTAAACAAGGGTTCGCAACAGCAGAGGTTATGGAGATTTTTTTCCGTGGCCGCTTTGTCTCCAAAAGTGAAATAATCGAGCACCACACTGTTTTTATTTTTTTTCTTCCTTTAGGAAAACAGTGAAACTCTCGGGGTGAAATAACAAGATAACAAATAATATTTAAAAAAAAATAAAAACACAACAAGAAAGTAAAATATCAATGTCCTCTGTATTATGAATAAAATGTAAAACAAAAAAAGAAATAAAACAAGTCTCTTCAGAATTAAAAAAAAAAAACTCCAGAAACCAATCTTATAATATAACTTAAAAGCTCGTGTATGTCCTTTTTCTTGTTGTTCCAGAGCGGTTCTCCCCTCGCACACGCGAACCCTCCACTCCACGACGATGAGTAAATTCCCAAAATAATCAAATAAAACAATGTCACGTTCCTTTTTTTTTTACTTTTTCACCCGGCTCGTCCACACCGACCAGTCTCAGCTCGAGTCCTCCTTGTTCACGCCGGTCGGGCCCCACTCCTTGCCAGGATGCTGAGCCCTGGCTGGGCTTCCTTCAGCTTCCAAATGCCACCCGCACGTCTTCGGCCTCTTCCAGACCTCGCTCAAACTTGCTGAGGGCACCCTTGTCTCTGCCCAAGTCTGGTCACCCAGTGCAAAAAAAATTTTTTTCTCTCATTTTCGCTTGTAACAGTTATATCAACCCTTGGGGTGCCGGTGTTTTTGAAATAAAGCCCATTTGTAAGTATGTCGGGTTCGAACCTGGGACCTTTACCTTACAATGATGAGCGCCGTGTCAATGCCTAAACCGTTGCAGCCACTGACGCCCCTCTTGACGCTCTCTCTTGTTCTTGCTATGATGAGTTTTATCTTTAGCATCCCACAATAATCAGCGGCTGTTGGCACATTCCAATAAGTCGAATGCAATCCCTCCTGGTTCATTCTAATTCACGAGACAAGTGCTTTTATACAGAGAGGAATAACATGAAACACTTTGATGCACACTAAAAAACTGACCTCGTGCCACAAGTTTCGCAGCCCCCGGGCTAGCTATCCACAACATGAGACCGGTTTTGCAAAGTGATTTTCATGCAGTGGGCCCAGCTTAAAGATGGTAAAAAAATAAAATTTGTCTGACATATATATCATTATATAATTCATGAAAACATATTGTAAAATTTAAATAATTTTTTTGTGGCTGGCTTTTTCTGTATTTGCTTATCAGTCATGTTTCACCGATGTGTGATAATCGAGTCAGGGTCACACCAAGCGGCTTTTGTCTACTCGACCATCGAAGAAACAACCATGCAAAATGTTCACACTTAGAAATTATGAATAATTTCTATATATTTAATAATAATAATTAATAATATTAGAAATTAGTTTTTATGTAAGCTTTTTCATTTCAACCCAAAACGTCACATAAAAAAATTAATGAATTAAAAGAAATAATTTGGTCAATTAGACCACTAAATATAATGGACTTAGAACAATGTTGAACGTCTTCGAGCTCGTCCAATATCAGTTTAGCGCATTACTAGTTCACTTGACTCTCCTTGGCAGTTTCAAACTGTGTTAATTTCAAACATCAACCTCGATGATGAAGTAGTGCATGTTTTAGTGTTATTACGCCGAGTAAAAAATTAGGAATGGAAAAGGCACATGTGGATCTATCCTATATTATCAGAATGATCTGAGAAAGGGTTTTTGAATGAGTTCTGGCCTTAATTAAATGAGGATGAAGAGAATTTTTTTCATTTTTATAAGGATGGCCATTGTTTCTTCATGACAATATGGGTTAATGTAAGCCCAGAACATTTAATTTTGAAAAAACGAAATTAAAATTGAACAAAAACGAAATTAAAACTCTTCAATTTTACAAATTAGGGAAAAAGAAAAAAATATTTTGAGCCTACAACTCATCTAGAAACATTGATAATTGGATCGACACCACTTTTAAGCTCTTGTAGAGAAGGGAGTCTTTTGTACTTTTTGTTTTTACAAGCTTCTCACACTGAATTTCTAGAGTTTATCCTGTTCCAAACTGTTGGCCTTTCTTCAACAGACTATGATGGTTTCATTATTCATGCTGTGAAAAAAATTTCAATTTAAAAAGAACAATGTTAGATATCTTGCTACCCTAAGCTTCCTACGCCACTGCATGGCGTGAACAGAGAGTAAATTGCTTAATTACATCAGAAGAACTTTATTGTAAAACGAATGATGAATCGAAGCGGCCTCTGTGTCGCTTGCTTGCCGTTTGTAAAACCGTTTGTAAAAAAATAACAGCGCTGCTAAAGACCCTGGTTTTATTTGTACACCCAGTCCTGCTTAGAACTGATAGAATGATCCATTGCGTCAACAAAACCCGCTTTGTGTGAACTTAGCCTACAAATATCATCCTAGAATGATTCACAGTTGACCCAATAAAACTTTAATTTCCTGATTCCCTCTTCTCCCATATTCATACGACTGAAATAAAAATTTTATTTTTCAGGTTTAAAAAGATGAAGAGGGAGGCAAAATCGGCACAGCACCTCATGAAACTGAACAAAGGGCTCGAAAACAAGATTATTTCCCTTCAGCAGAAGATAGGAGAAATGGTTATTTAAAAAAAATCTATTTTGCTTAAACACTATCTCATTTCAACAACTTTTTTTTTTCCAGACAAAGGAGCTGAACATGCAGAAAACAATGGCACAAGAAGCTACAGCGCTAAAGTCTCGGTTAAGCACGATGCAGGGAATTGAAGGGCAGCTTAAGCTTACCAAAAGCCAGCTTGTAGAGAAAGACAAAGAAATCGTCGACCTCACTAATCTCCTCAAAGCTCAAATCTCAGAAAATGTAAATTACAGACACCATTTTAAATACAAATTTTACATTTTATTGTATATTTTAGGACAAAACTCTGGAACAATGGAAAAAGAAAGAGTCAGTACTTACTCAAGACAATAATAAACTGAAATCGGAGCTTTTGAAAATGAAAGACAGCCTTAAAACAGCCGTGTCAGAAAAGGAAGGTCGCTACACTTCGATATTATTTCGCTTATTAATATATTTTTTACCATCAAATAAATGTTTTTAACTAAAATTCTGTACTTGTTCTATTTTAGTTTTAAATCTTTGAATTTTAATGAAACTCTTGAAAAATATCAAAAACTATAAATGTTTTATTTAAAACTATATTCATTGTAGCTGAGGTAAAGAGTCTTATGCAAGAAGAACGTAAACAGATAGTGGACGAGCTTAGCCAAGAGCGCCTTGCTCATCAGAAGCTGCTTGCTGAAAAGGAGCTTTTTGAATCGAGGATTGAAACTCTTGAAAAATCTCTGGGAAAAGCTCACAAGAGGTCATCTTCCGACGCTAGCACTGTCTCAATACAGGAGGTGGTAATAAAATATAATTATAACTGAATTCAATATCTAAAATTCATTTTATCTATCAGGATGTTGGATACGCATCAGTTAGATCGAATATAAGCTCTGGGCGAGAAGAAACACCTACGCCGGAGAATCATGTAAGTTGGGAATTTTTTTTTTTTTTAATTTTGACAAAAATGTATCATATGCGTGCGATTAATTCTACTGCTAAATAGAATGGGAGCCTTCAGTGTTTATTAAAAGCTTCCTTAATTAATTAAGAGGATAGTTATGAAAGACTGGACAATTTTAATTTATAAAGTTCAGAATAAATATTAATCTCTTTGAAATGAAATCTTTTCTTCCTCATGTTACAAAAATAAATCAGTTTTTTAATCAACCAACGAGGTTTTGACATCCTAATTATTATAAATACAATTTACTTTTTACCTGAAATTTAATGATATTTATGCTGTAAAAACACCTGTTTTCATAATGATTTGAATTATTAGTTATGAATTTTTAAATATTTCATTTTTATTTCATGCTTCAGGATGATGTTGAGGTTTATTTTGCAATACATTCACCAATTTTCCAAAAAGATAATTCAAATGTAACTAGTACTTTTTTTTCCAGTTTGACACTACGTTAATGCTCCAACTTCAGCGTAAAGTCGTATCTTTAGAACATGAAAATCGTTACCTTCACTCCAAGATGGAGAACGAGAAGAGGAACAATTACGGTAACGGGGTGAAGGGCGCTTTTATGGTAATTATTCAAAAATATAAATTTAAAAAACATTTAATAAATCGAATCTAATTGTTTAACATGCATTTTAAGAATGAAGAACTGGAAATGGAAAATGCTAGATTGAGAGCCGATCTTTTGGAATTGAGAGAAGCTGTTAAGAACGATGCAATGAGCAAAACGGGAGGAAATAAAGCATTGCAGCAGATTGCCAGTAAGCCTTCTGGGAACAACTTTTTTTAAAAAAGGAAGTCTCATTTATGTTTTGATTCTATAGAGAAAGCAGAATGGTGGGAAGAGGAGGCAAAGAGGGCAAGGCAGGAAGCGGCAACTTTACGAGAAACACTCGGAAGCAGGACTTTCAGCACTTCAAGTCTTACTAGAAGCTCCTATCCTACATCCGACATCGATCCGTCAGTCATAAACGAAGATGGCGAGCTTGTGCTCGCTTTCGAAGCTCAGAAGAAGACCTTAAGGTATTTTAAAAAATATATTTTTCAAAACGCTCACTTTATCATTTTTCCACAGGCAAATCGAAAACGAGTTGCAAGAGAAGACGACAAGATGGGAGATCGAAAGAGAAGAATTGATCAATGAGCTGGTACGCCTCAGATCGGAGAACGAACGGCAGAATGCGATGTTGGTAAACAGCGTAGGATCGCTTGCTTCTATGTCAGAAATGTACCTTCAATCTGAGCTGACACGTTTAACCGCTGAAAACTTGGTATGTGTGAGATAATTATCTTTATATTAATCCATATGTATTTTAATTGATCCTATTTAACCAAAATAATGATTTAAATTGTTTTATAAGTTTTATGTAAAGTGTAGTTGCGATAAAAATTTAGTACACAAGCAGGGCTCAAACCCACGACCTTCAGTTCAATTCAGTGTTGCTCTAACCACATGAGTTATGTGACTCCGATCATCTCAACCTACAACTTTTTCAAATTTCCCTCTTTTCACCACATATTCAAATATCGTGTAATCGGATTTGATTCTCAGCGACTTGTGAAGTGGCACAGGGAGCTGTTAGCAAAATGCAAATACATTCAATTCGTGGAATCGAGTTGCTCTCGTGTCACTAATTTTTTTTATCTCAACTACCTTTACATTAAAATCATAAATGTATTATCTTTGTATCAAAGCTTTAATAAACTAATTAACGTTAATGTTAATTCAACAATTTTTGTTTAAGGAATTGAACAATAAGTACGACAAAAAGTCCGCTGATTATAGAAAGCTGCAAGAACAGTTCAACGAACTACTGAACAAACTGAAAGAAGTTGGAGGTAAGTTAGTTATTTCAATGCTGCCTAACTAACTATAAACATAATATAATTTCTCCCCCCTTTTAAGCTTCATTAATTAATTTATTTAATGTTATTAATTGAATTTTACTTTATTATTTTGATTTAGTTTAGATTAGTTTCTCTATATAAAATTTATAAATTCAATTAATAACATTACTTTTTCCAAGTTGATGTCGACCCTCCTTAAAAATGGTAATTTATATCGGAGCTGGATTAACAGTGAAGTTTAAAAGTAAGTCCTGAATAAAGCGTGCTTTTGCATCGAATTTTTTTTTCCGTTCTTTGTTTTAAGTTTTCGTACATTAAAATTTTCCGATTGACACCTTGATTTGATTGGTAAAAACAAACCAGATTTGAGTTTAGATCCCCAAATCTTCTCATATTTAAATCCATGATTACATAAATAATGCCATAAAACATAAATTTAACAAACCATAATGTAATATACAGCATATGGTATTTCACATTTAAATATATTATTATTATTAATCTTTCTGGGATTGATTTTAGGATGCTAAAATCTATTACGCTGCCATTATTTTCAGGCGCTATGTGACCCCCCCCTCTTTCAGGTGCACCAATTCCAATTGAGGCAACTAGTCATAAGGCCTGGGAGCATATAAGCTCGATCGGGATAACTTGTCACAAGTCCTGGGGAGCATATAAGCTCGAAGGGGATAACTTGTCACAAGTCCTAGGGAGCATATAAGCCCGATTGAGACAACTTGCACAAGTCCTGGGGAGCATATAAGTCATATTGAGATAACTCATCACAAGTATTTAGGAGCATATAAGCCTGATCGGGATAACTTGTCACAAGTCCTAGGGAGCATATAAGTCAGATCGAGAAACTCGTCACAAGTCCTGGGGAACATGTAAGCTTGAAGGGGATAACTTGTCACAAGTCCTGGGGAGCATATAAGCTCGAAGGGGATAACTTGTCACAAGACCTATGGAGCATATAAGTCAGATCGAGATAACTCGTCACAAGTCCTGGGGAACATATATGCCTGATCGAGACAACTTGCACAAGTCCTGGGGAGCATATAAGTCAGATCGAGATAACTCATCACAAGTCCTTAGGAGCATATAAGCCCGATCGAGATAACTCGTCACAAGTCCTGGGGAACATATATGCCTGATCGAGACAACTTGCACAAGTCCTGGGGAGCATATAAGCCAATCTAATGTTAATTACTATTTGGAAGTATAAGCTGGGAAATATCTCCTTGTGCGAAGATAATCCATCGAAAAACCTCCTCATGATCTCGAAAGTGTCTTCTGGTGTCTATTCTGTAAATATTTGATTGGATTAATGCCAATTTAGGACATATTTTTCTTCAAGCTAAATTTTTTTATTTGGCAATGTGTTTTGGCATAATGCAATTTCTATATTTGGTCTGGTTTTTTCTTCTTCTTTCACTCCCCTTTCACCCTCTATGTTTTACCACTTGCAAAAGTAAAAAAGGTCTGGTAATCCTAAAATATGGAACTTTTTTCCACAGACTCAGTTTCTCATAAAAACTGTATTGTTTTATTTTAAAGTTTCATAAGGCTTCTAACATATAATTGGACATGATTCATCTGCGGGGTGATGAACCTGCAATTTGATCCTAACTGATCATCTTGGTCTGTCAGACGTGTTTTGGGAGCTCACGATCTTCAGTGTGTCTGTGCAGCTCAGATATAATGCAAATTTAAAGGGATGGGAAATGAAGAATCTAATGAAAGAGAACCAACAAAAAATCACATGGACACAATGAAGATGGCAAAATGCTTAAACGCTCTGACATACCAAACCAGTAAAGACAGACAGACCAATCAGCAAGATCAAATTAATATACTGTCATAATGAGAATTCCTCAAGGTATTGAGGTGGATTTTGATGGTGAAAGATTTTAATTTTATTATTCAACCACAATTATTAAAATGTAGAAGATGGACTAAAACAAAGTTATTTAAAATATTATGAATATCTCTTATGTAAATATATTTCTGAGTACAATTTCAAGGGATTTCAATTAATCCTTGATTGAGAGTGAACCATGGATCTTGCTCATTACAATTGACATTTTTTGTGCGTGTCAACAGTATTGAAGATTGTCCATCAGGGGTTTTAATTTTTACTGAATTTATTACTCTAAAATATTGAAAAAGAAGATAAGGAATTAAGCATGCAGTTCCTTGCAGATTATGCTTTAAAATGTGTGTTGTGTAAGCATGACAAGTTTGTTTCCACAACGGTAAGAAAAACATTTGATATTCTGTGAGATAGTATAATTTTCTTTCTGTTCATCCTAATTTCTATAGTTCTTTTGAAGATGGTGTTTTTTTTGTTTACTTAAGTGTGTGTTGTTTTTATTATTTCATAAGTATTTAAAAATTTTAAAGTGATGTTAAAGAAAAGGACTGTTTAACTAATAATTAAAACAGTGCGCTCTTAAGCATATTTATTTAAAAGGGTTCACAGTCGATATTTTAAAACTTGATATATTTTAATATTTTTATAAATATTTTTAAAGCTTTCATTGGTTAAATTGAATAATTATTTGCAGTGCCTGATGTAGAAAAGACGGTCGCAAAATTGAACAGGCTTGAATCACAGTCTAGCCTGCCAGTCGTGATAAAAAAGGAGCGCGAATTCATGGGAATGTTCGAGTGCAAGTTCGACGACATCTATCCCTTGATCAAACAGCTCTTGGGTGAGTATTGCTGACTGATTTTCAGATTGTTTAAAACTTAATGGATTTATTTTTAGAGCTGAAGCCCAAAGTTGCTGTCACGCTTTTGCCGGGGCTGCCAGCTTACATCATCTTCATGGTGGTTAGGTACACCGATTACATAAACAACGAGTTAATGGTGGGTGTTGAAATTTTAACAAAATTATTAGATGTTGTTAATTTTTTTTTTTTTTTTTATAGCTCCAAACATTAATCCTTGGCTATCAAATGCATGTAAAAACTTTCATCGCCAAGAAGTCCAAAGATGTCGATACTGCAGTGCTTTGGTTGGCAAATACTTTGCGCTTAGTACATAATTTAAAACAATACAGGTAAAATTCAAGTTTTTATATTCTCAGAAATAAAGTAACTTTTAACTTTTACTCATGATAATCATAAATAAAATTGTTTTTTTAAATATTAATAAAGTGGCGAGCAGCACTTCGGTAAAGACAACACACCAACCCAGCAAGAGCAGTGTCTGAAAAACTTCGACCTCCTTGAATTCAGGCAGGTCTTGTGCGACGAAGCTGTGGCGATTTGTCAAGTTAGTAAGCTGTTCGACTATAAAGACTCGACTTGTATGTAACAACACCGATTTTCAGAACATATTGAAGAAGATGCAAGATCGTATTCAACCATTGGCTGCTGGGGCGATTTTAGACCATGAAGCCGTCTTCGGCCTTACCACCGGTATTTCTCGGGGAAGGTCATCCTCAGTGGCTGCTCCACCACAAGCTGCGAAAGCATCGATGGACGAGTTGCTCACTGTTCTGTCCAACTTCAAAAGAACTCTCAATCTCCATGGCGTTGATCCTCAACTTCATAGCCAGTTTTTTATGCAGGTATGCAATATTTTATTGTTAATTCCATTCTTTAATATTTTTTTAAAAAATATTCTTGTGTTTTCAGTTGTTCTATTCTTTATGCGCTCATTCGCTTAACATCCTACTTCTGAGAAAAGAATACTGCCACTGGTCAAAAGGCATGCAGATTCGTTACAACCTGTCTAACCTTGAACAGTGGGTCAGGGAAGAAAAGATCCAGGTTGGTTTTTAATTTTATTCCCCCCCCCCAAAAAAAATGGCAATATAAATCCTGTTTTTTCTTTCAGGATACGAGAGTACTGGAAATGCTTCAGCCCATCATAGAAGCTTCTCAACTCTTGCAGGCGAGAAAGTCGGACGAAGATGTCGAAAGTGTGGCCAACATGTGTCCGAACTTGACAGCAAATCAGGTCCGTATTCGCGTTGTAGTCAAATCAGATATTTTCAAGATATTTTAACGCTGTTTTATTTATTATTATTTTAATAGATAATAAAACTGCTGAACCTTTATACACCGGTGGATTCCTATGAAGAAAAGGTTTCGGAGTCTTTCATTAGAAAAATCCAGGAAAGGCTAAAAGAGCGAAAGTCAGTTGATGGGACACATCGGGAGAATGTAAGCGAACAAACATTTTTTTTCCTTCAAATTATCTTGATTTTAATTTTCAAATGGCATGATTTGAAATTTCATTGTTTTACAAATGCAAATTAAGTTAGGAAGGTATAAAGGTTTTATTTTATTTTATTATTTTTTTTATGAGGGTATTTCAACTACAGGGTTTTATTAACCTCATGGTGCTTGAGTTTTTGTAAAAAAGAAAAAAAAAGAAGCCTATTTGTAAATATATGCCGGGTTTGAATGCACGGCTGCTGGATTACAGTGATGGGGGTGCTGAGCCAACATCTAAACTGTTGTGGCCACCGACACCCCCAACAGAAAAGCTGATATTTTCCTGAAAACTGATAAAAATATGTCACCATGTTCCTGAACGACTAACATAAAATGCAGTACGCAACAAACTATTAAGATTCCAGATAAGAAAGTTGGTTTGTTTCCAAACATTACCCATTGGGATAATAATTATTTAAACAAATTATTTATTTAGAAAAGTTGATATTTTACTGTTCGGGAGGATTAAGATGTAATCATACTATAGATAGACAGATAATGATGTTTATTTATTAATTAAAAATAAAAAAAATTATTTTACGGAAAATATTCAGTACATAAAACGTCCTAGGCAAGAGCCCACAGGCTGTCTGTCGAGTTGCCAGAAGAAAAACAGAATAATATTAATAATGTTAATAATAAGAATACTAGGGCGTGAAATGACCTTAGCCGTTAAAACGCCCTTAAAAATTAATAATAATAATAATAATAAGAATACTAATACTAACAATACTAATTACCTTAAAGGAAACGAATAGGCCGACAAAGCGGCGAAAGAAGCATCGACAATGTCGCACGACCCGGACACTCTGGTTAGTCCGGCGGATATTAAAAATTCCTTCAAACAATTAAGCTGGAATGAATGGCAAAACAAATGGAACGCCCTGAATGAAAAACTAAAGGTGTTAAAACCGACAGTCAAACCTTGGGTCCCTGAAATTCTTAGAAAGAAAGAAAGAATTGTACTTACACATTTAAGGATAGGCCATACCCGCCTAACACATGGACATCTCATCGGCAAGAGACTGTGGAAATGCCCCATGTGCGGTGCAATTGTAACAGTAAGACATATTTTAGAAGAATGCGAACAACTAGCGCCGCACAGAGCACGGTGTGGCCTTCCTAATGACATAACAAAAGTACTTGAGCACAACAGTGATTATAAACGGAAGGTCATTGATTACCTAAAATTAATCAATGCGTGTGGCTATATATAACCCACCACACGTGGTATATCCCCCCTATTTATATGAATATATTATTGGCATTTCGTTGGTACTATACTTCCGAAGTGTAGTGGCTAGCCCAGAATGAATGTATTTATTAGCATGAGAGGTGATGCGTGAAAGGACGTGGCTGTCGAGGAATATCGAGTACTCCACAGGCCCGTCAAATAATTTCGCTTAGGATAGGTTAGTGTGTGAGTGGAACTTGTAAATACCGTTTGAACGTATTTATTAGTGTGAAAAACAGAGGGCCGCAAGATCACGATAATCTTCCAACCTCCAATTTAGTTGTAGTATAGGTTAGTAAATTAGAATGAATGTGAAATATGAAAATGTGTAAATATTATATCTATGTATTTTAATTTATCACGTGTGGGAGGGTAACAACAAAAAAGATAATGAATCTCCTATTAGGCGAATTAGGTGAATCGGAAGGCAACAGTTGTTTAGTTGAGGCATAAGAAGACTCAGAAAAGAATATACACATAAGATAGATAAGAAGACAAATGCGAGAAGGTTTATATGTGGGGCTCTGGCGATGAGTTAGCCGGCCAAAAAAAAAAAAAAAAAAAATACTAATACAAATAGTCATAATTTACACAATCCTTTATTAATAATTGAAATTATCGATTAGGAACGCTCTGTATTTTAGGGAGTACAAAACATAATTGTAGAGACTCTGCCAGTTCTGCCCATTCAAAAATGAAATTACTTAATTTTTTTCTAAAAACAATTTGCCAAACCACCTGTCTGAATTCCTTTAATATAGGGCACACCGCCAAAAAATGGAAGCCATCCTCATACACACCTAAATTACACAAAACACAACAATACGCTTCCTCATTTTTGTGAACCGAGTAATTAAGAGGCAACTGACCTCTTGCCTTCATTATCACACTTATCATATTCAAATTATAATTTTTATTTAAATAATGGTGATTTTCTCCTAATTCCAGATTCAGCTCTTTGTATAAACCATGGAAGACAGACCGCTGTGCTCTTAATTTTAGTTTATTTTTAAAATCAGTTCTCAAAACATTTACCAAGCTTTCCACACTATTTTTATTTATGTCGGAGTAACTCATGGGGGTTAAACCATGTAGACACAAATTGTCAAATTCTTTTGCCCAAAATATTTTCTAACCCTAACCATCCCTATAATCATAATATTATGGTGGTGAATGATGACATGCGAGGTTATTATACCTTATTAAATAGTGTTATTGAGCAGTTCAAGGCTCACCGAACGTTTGGAATATCTCTTATGAAAAAATTATCCCAAAGGTAGGAGCCAAAAGATATCTTCCTCGTAGAAATAATTAATTAAGGTGGCATGGGTATATCAATCCACTTTTGAAATAGTTCTACTCCCAAACTGGTTTTAACAGCATCCAAATTTTGAGCGTTAATTAAATTCATCATCTATGATGTGACACTGAGCATTGCTTGAAATCCAGGTAACTGTTGAAACAGTTTGTGATTAGAACTACCATTTCCAAAAAGTTCCTTATTGGTTACTCTAATTTGGGAAAGAGATTTTGAAGGCACAAGACAGTTCAAACAAGCTATGAATATTATATAACTTTTTAGTTTTTTTAAGGTTTTTAGTTGTTTAGCTCCTGGTTGAAGTGTTAGTTACAAGTTACATTTTCTACAAGTTCTCCAATACTGTTCACTCCAGTAATTATACACAAAATGCAAAAAAACTTTATAACACTGAAGAAACTTCTAAAATACCAAAAAATTGGAAAAAGTAGTTGTTTCAGCTGTTTTTAGTTTTTCAGCTCATGGTCAGGTTGTTAATTGCAAGTTTAAGTTTTGATGTATTCGGTCTCTATACCATTCACTCCAGAAATTGTACGTAAATTGTAAAATGCAACTTTCAAAACTTATGAAACATCTAAAATATCCAAAAACAAAATTGAAAATATAATTGTTTTAACAGATAAAGCTGTGAGTTTGAGTTAATTTGTTCTCATCTTGGAAGACGGCTCATAGACTAAGCCTGGTAACAGCAAAAACTTGCCATGGGGGAAGGATAAGCATTTTAACCCTTTTTTTGGTACTCAGATTATCTGGGTGTTTAACTTCAAACTTGCTGTTCGTGTCTATTGTTGCTTGATGTAAAGCAAAATATTTCTTTTTGTTTAATTGTAATTTTTGTCAATAAATATATTAGGGTTATTCACTTTCTCTAAATTTGTTTCAATCCTTTTGTAGCTTTACCTGGAATAATTCAGGCTCTATTACAAAAAATGCCTATATATGTGTGTTTCTGGGTTATGAAAACTTTGTTAGCTTTTCCAACTTTTTATTTTTTACGTAGATGCACTTTGAGGCTCTTTCTGCCTCCTCCTCAGTACATTTTTCTAAAATTTATAAAAACAACAATAATAAAATAGTACGATTAATTAAGGTTTTTAGTTGAGATAAAAAAGTCAATGGCACGAGCGGGATTCGAACCCACATTCTTCGGCTAGATACGCCGCTGCTTTACCACTTGAGCTATCGTGACTTCGATCCCCTCGGACAATAACTTAACATCTCAACCGCACCTTTTGAATTTTCCCTCCTTTTTGCCATTTTTCAAATGTCGTGTAATCGGATTGGATTCTCGGCGACAAATGAAATGGCCACGGAGAGCTTTAGTGAAGTACACTTCATTTTAAATCATTAAATTCACTAATTTCGTGGTCCGCTTGACCAATTAATTGTAATATATTAATTGGTCAAGCGGACCACGAAATTAGTGAATTTAATAATAAAATAGATTTTTGGACTTTCAATAATATTTTTCAAACCATCTCGATCCTTATATTTTGAATGTCAACAGACGACTGGTTTTGTTGGTACTCAAAATGTAAGGATCGAGTTGGTTCATAAAATATTATTGAGGTCCAAAAGTCCATTTCATATTGATAATTTATTTAAATTTTAGAAAAATGTACTGAGGAGGAGGCGGAAAAAACCTCAAAATGCATCTATGTAAAAAAAAAGTTGGAAAAGCTTACGGAGTTTTTATAATCCAGATTCTCATACATATGTAACAAAAAGATATATGTGTGTTATTTAGTGATGGGTTGTGCAATAATATATTGAAGTCGTGAGGAGTGGTCAGGAACAAAGTATTTTAGAAAAACAGTTTTTTTATTTTTTTATTACCTTTATTCAGCACATATTGTCACAACATAAAGTGTGGTGCTATCCTTGTAGTGACTCACAACAAAAATAACACTACAAGAATAACACCACACTATATGCTCTTGAAGATGACATGAATAAAGGTAAAACTTCAGCAAAAAAATGAAAAGATGTTTTTCGTAAAATATTTCATTCCTGGCCACTCCTCACTACTTCAACAGATTAATAAGCATTTATTGACCTCAATTTTTTTATATTAAAACTGCTGATATTTAATGTAAATTTGTGTTACAGATATTAATGATGGATGCTCAAAAATCTTTTCCACTCGAGTTCCCGTTCAACCCTTCAAGCATCCGCCTGGAGGATATTGAAATCCCCGATGTGCTGCACCTTCCGATGTTGAAAAAGTTGTAATTTTGAGTAAACAGAAAAAAAATGTAGCTCTTAGCAGATGGTGAGACTTTTTATCATAATAGTATCTCACACCGATAGAGGATGAAAAAAACGCCTTTTACCACTTAGGTTTCACCATCATTTTTCCCCATAAACCCCCCCAGGAGGAATTATATACCCCCTCCTCCCCTTTCCCAAGAGAGAAATTTTCTATTTATGTAACAATGTACAAATTAGCTTGTGTAAATATGAATAAATTATTTTAGAGGAGTTATAGTTAACAAGGAATTGGAAATGTTTATTTTGTTGTCGGTAGTGTTAAGGGTGCCGATGCATAAAATGCAGGCAATAAACGACTAGTCACATAAATAAAGTGGTGGCAAACCAAAATTATGGCCTATATACTTATAAGGGGGTATCGATCGCCTTACATTCCATTATGGACCCACGCAAAAAAAAATCATTTCGATCGAAAGGGGGGAAAATATATCAAGATCGATTGTTCATTTCATTCTCATCTTGGAATGATACAAGGGAATAAAAACAGGATCTCACATTTGCGATCAGTGAATCCCCGCGGGAGTATGTACATAATGAAACCAATTACCACTTAAATATTTATTTTTAGAATTTAGGAACCGTTTCACTTAGAATTGTGATATGTAAGTCAAATTGCAAGGTCTCAGACCGTTTAGTGCAATAATTTATTTAATTTATTCGGCAGAGTACTTTTAAAATTTAATGCAATAAAGCTTCATCCGTTACATCGATGACAATGGATTCTTGTCTCAAAAATTGAATTAATAGCAAATTTAAAAAGTCTACCTTTTCTCATTAGCAGCAGGGACAAGGTTACTCATTAGTTTACTTTTTAATAGTATTTAAACGCAATGTATTGTTATAATATATAAGTAAAATAAAACTATAATTGTGTATCTTTTATGTGAATGGAAAGGTTTAATGTTTTTTTTTTGTTTTTTTGTTGTTAATACGTTCACATTTTTCCTCTAATACAAAACATTCCAAAATAACATTCCCAGAGACAACATGTCTTCTCCAATTTGCATATTCCTTAATCATTAGCCATGGTGTTAAGTGACCAGGAGCAATACAAGTACATGTCAGTGTGGAAGTGTAGACAATAATGTACTCTTATTTGAACTTAAATGTACTTGATTTTGTTTCTGTCTTCCTCCTATATATTTAACTGGCCTTTTATAGTTAGACATAAAATATAACTATATAATTAGTTAAATATAATATATATTTTAATGTTAATGCAGATGAAATGTTTAAAAGATTATAAATGTTATAAATTGTAAGATTATTTTATTTCCTATTGTTATCATTATATCCGTTCATCAATTTATGAGTACTGTATTTTTTAGAATTAAAAAGCAATAGCCATTTTATTTTTCTTATGTATCAACTCAGTTTCTGTAATTGATTGCAAAGATAAATAAATTTTGGTTTATATTTTCTTCATTCCATATTCAATGTAACCCCATTGACAAAGAATTTGGTTTTTCTGCACGGAGAAGTTCTAATAAGCATGATTAACAGTTGCTGACCCTTGGGTGTAAAGTAGAGTACGTTCTTTTGTTGAATCAGCATGTATAAACTGACCAAAAGTTCAAATGTTGGGGAAATTCATTGGGTTTATATGCCATCCGTCAGATAGTTTTAGACCACCTTGCAGACCTTATACTGGAAGTTCTGAAAAGCTAGGCAAGGATGAAATTATAGTAGGTCTTTTCACTGTTTTGATACTTCTGATATGGCTCTGGTTTGTGGCATCTTCAGTTTTTATCAAAATGCGTCAGACCAAAACAGTGATGATAGGAAGACAAAAATCTTCAGAAAGGATAAAACATAGATCTGTATGTCCAGAGGAAGGAGAGTATTAATAACTGGGGCATGAAACAATTCCTTAGGGAGTGGAATTTGTTCCCCGGACACAGGCAATCGAAAGAGTTTGTTAAGGCGATCAAACCAGCAGATTCGAAATGGCTCTTCTCTAACTCAAGGAAGGGAATTAGGAGGCTGATAGGTATTCTGACGGGCCACTGCCCACTGAGAAGACTCCTCTACGTAATGGGTATTCTACCAGATCCCTTTTGCCATTTTTGCAAATAAAAGAAGAAACGGCAAGGCACTACCTCGCAGAGTGTGATAGGTATGCTAGGTCTAGATTTGAAATCTTTGAAGGAGAGTACATCACCAAATCACTCCCCGAGATTAAATGGTCCAAAATCTTGGGGTTTGCGAACAGGTCCAAGAGATTTATGCAGGACACGTGAGCCGACCAATTCCCAGACGTTTTAGGGATGGGGTACGAGTCTACCCAGGCATTTAACCCTTCGGGTCTTGATCGCCCGCCCTGCATAATATATAATGCCCAGAGGAAATCGCAATTTAAGTTGAACGTGTTAAGAAATCAGCGATAGAGTTTAGAATGAGCAAGGCAATAACAACTGACTGTTGATATTATTTAAATTTAACTGATTTTCCCCCATCTGCTATGCCAAAGTGGGTGTTCCACAAGGCAACATCCAAGGACCCATTCTTTATTCAGTATACATTACAGTTATTCCTATCAATCTTGATACAGTAATTTACGAATGCAGATGAATTTTCATTTCATAAACCTGAAGGATCAGACTCATTACTCAACAAAACCAAATCTCAAATCCTAGCAAACAACTTCACCTCTCATCCAATCTACTACAGTTCTATTATCTCAGCAACAACAACGTTGTCCGGTATTTTAATAGTAATCTTAGTTAAAATTTTCCATTGGAGGGCTCCAAAATGCGGCAGATAGGCTTAGCAAAATGTTCTTAAATGTCCAATTGGAAGGTCCATTACCTGCCAAAGGATTTTTTTTTTTGGGGGGGGGAAGAAGGAAGCCCATTTGTAAGTATATTGGGAAGAATTTCGGGCCACTGGATTTGAACCCAGGTCCTACACCTTTAGTTATGAATTGTTGTGTTGTGGCCACCAATGTCCCCCACCAGCTAATAACTGACTGTTAATTTTTTATCTCTTTGAAGTAGCGTTCCAAATCGTGGAAACACAAATGAAAACAATAAAAGAACAATTTAACTGTTATTTCTATTAAATTGAACTGCCCCCCCCCCCATCTGCTAAACTGAATCAGGTGTTGTACAAGGCAGCATCCTTCGTCCCATTCTTTATTTAATATACACTTAGACATTTCTATCAATCCCAATAAGTCTGCATATTCAGGCAATGTGGCCTCAGAAACATCCAGGACCATATCTCTTATTAGGAAGAATGGTTCAATAAATGGAATACAAAATGAGTAATCCATTATATTTTGTGGTCCGATTGACCAAATAACATCTTTCAATTAATTAATGTTATGTAAGGTATTGGTTGAAATGAAAAAGTTAGTGTCACAAGCGGGATTCGAACCCAGGACCTTCAGCTAAATACGCTATGGTCTACCACTTGAGCTATTGTTGGTTTGTATTTTCTATTTTTTTTTTATCCAACTAACAAGAATATAATGGTTAATTTAATTAAAATTAATAGAGTAAGAATAAATTACATATATCCCTATTCATTTTTGAGCTAGTAGACATGGACCTTAAATAAAGTAGAGTGTACTGAAAGAAGAACTAAACATGGGTAAAGAAAATAACAAATAAAATTACAGGTATATAGCAACAACAATTCTAATAAAATCTATCATTATTTCTAACTAGAAGCAGGTAGGAACTGAAGAAAATCATAATTAAGAGACACACAATAGCACATTTAATTAACTCTTGAAAAAATGGGCAAAGTTGCGGCAGAAACCTGAAGACTGAATTATGAAGAAGCAGAGGTATCACAATCAGACAAAATTTGTTAATTTGTTTCAGAAGTAAGACATAGTTGAAAGTTGCACCTTAGATAAACATAATGTTAGGCTGCTGTAGAATATATTTGACAAAAGATTCCAGGATAATAAAAATTTCTTCTCTTGAAAATAAATAATTTAATATAATAAGAGTATACAATATTTACAGTATTTATAAAATTTATGGTATTCGTCATGAATATTGCCAGTAAGGTCCTGCTGAGAGCATTCTCCTGTTGATATAAGAGCCGTATTCGGGGCCGCCATTGTAGCCGTAATGAGACTGCGCCAATGTTTGTTGCTGCAAAGGCAAAATTTGTCGAATATCCACATTGAAAATTTATATTCATCGTACTTACCTCGTATTGTTGGTCAATATTGTTTGCTCCGATGATCGCATTTCTCAAAAGGTTCAGACCGAGGATGAACAGTGCCAGCTTACCAATCATCATCGCTTTCACAGCCATCATCTTCAGCTTGAGAAGCATCAGCGGCATCATCTGTGACTGGATCATGAGCGGGATGAGTAGAAGAGGGAGCAGCTTTGAAGCCATCTTTTTACTCGGGCCTTTGGGGCGTTTGATTTTTATCTTATTCTTCCCATCGACTAAACATCAAAGGGAAACACTATAATTTCACTTTTAATGAAAATTTAATCAAATAAAAAAATTTAATTGAAAATTACTGAATTATACAAAGAGTATGATTTTATCAATATTATTAATGTATTTAAAAATCATACAATTTTAATACACAAATTAAAAGCTGTTTTTTGATGTTGAAATATTTCATAAAATTAGTATCAATACAAGGGGGCGTTGGTGGCCGGAACAGTTAAGGTGTTGACACAGATCATCTCTATAAGAAAGAATGTGTGGCGATTAGTGACCGTTAATCGATAATTATTCAGAAATCGAATTTTTCGAAGAAATTTCTGAATAACTGTGTAAGTAAGGTAAAGGTGCTGTGTTTGAAACCTGCAGCCCGAATTCAAATCCAACATACTTACAAATGTGTGGTTTTTTTAATCTAAAATTTTCTAGCATTGTATAAATTCATTTTTTTTAATCTAAAATTTTCTGGCATTGTATAAATTCATTTTTTTAATCTAAAATTTTCTAGCATTGTATAAATTCATTTTTTAATCTAAAATTTTCTAGCGTTGTATAAATTCATTTTTTTAATCTAAAATTTTCTAGCATTGTATAAATTCATTTTTTTATCTAAAATTTTCTAGCATTGTATAAATTCATTTTTTTTTATCTAAAATTTTCTAGCATTGTATAAATTCATTTTTTTATCTAAAATTTTCTAGCATTGTATAAATTCATTTTTTTTAATCTAAAATTTTTTAGCATTGTATAAATTCATTTTTTTTAATCTAAAATTTTTTAGCATTGTATAAATTCATTTTTTTTAATCTAAAATTTTCTAGCATTGTATAAATTCATTTTTTTTCTCACATCTTACAAGTATTTGTAAAATTTAAACAATGTTTATAAATCCCAGGCCCTGAAGATGATCTCAGTAAAGATCAAAACTACACCAGACCGCGTCTCATGATATCTGAATAAAGATCAAAACGTTGGCACGATAAAGAAAATCTTTATCTAAAACCTACGTCACACCAGACCGCATCTCACGACCTCCAAATAATCATACTTACAAATGGAATGTTTCCCAAAACACTAGCACCCCGAGGATTCATATAACCTCATAGTTGAAATACCCTTGCAAATTCATTAAGTTTTTATATTACAAATTTTAAAAATGACGAAATGCACACCAAACTCAGATAATTAGATAAAAATATTTTCTTGTATTATCCATGGTTATGTGTAGTATAGTTTAAAGGGTATTAAAAAAAATCAAAGAAACCGATGGTGATTAATTACTTTTTGGGGGTTCAGGTTGCCCATCTTCAGCAGTCTAATGAACGAAATGTCCAAAACATAACATCACCTTCGATTTCTTGGATTTTTTAATACTCTCATTTTAAAATATTGGCCATGGTTGTTTCTGCATGCTGCTACCCTGACAACCTATGCTTTAAAATGTGTTCTGATGATCTTAAGATGTTAACCACCCTGTTTTCACAACAGGGTAAAATTAAGAATATAGATATTTATTTTCTTACTATTCTATGGAAAAATACTTTTTTCTTTCTATTTGCCATAATTTCCTTTCCAAAAAAAGAAATATATATATATTCAGGCAATAAATACATTCACTCACAACACACACTAGACACAAAACTATCATTACTGTATACAATAAAACGACATTTTTTCCTCCCAAAATCAGAGGACCTGTCTACTTTTTATATCTTTTAATCTTTGTATACAGATTATTATATGGGCGCATGGAGCAATCTTTCTCTACATGCTGGACCCATATGTGGGCTTTGGCCCTAAAGTAGGTGCTGTGTGTTAACCTCGCATGGCCCATTCTTAATCAGGTGATGATGATGCCTCTTCTACAAATCATATCATCCAAGGGCCACCTAGCGGCAGTGCTCGTGACACATGAGAGCTAAAACATGTTATGTTTGGACTTATTTTCTTTTTATTTTATATTCTCCTTCATTTTTATCTTTATGTTCTGTTGAATATATTTTTTACCATTTATACAGTTTTACCACACATCTCACGATTTCTGAATAATCATCGACTAACGGTCACTAATCACCACACATATTTTTTACTTATCTCTTATTTTTATTAATTTTGTAAAGCCAATATGTGATATAATCAATCTTAAACAAGTCCTTGTTGAATTGTAATAATTCTAGTTTCAAATTAACTGTATTGTAATAAAATTGAACATTTCCGATCATCCCGATCTGGCTGGTTTCTCTGTTGGACACATTTCAACATTTTGCTATTGTTGGTGGTTTATCAAAGCTGAATAAGTTATATTTAAGTAATAATTCTAATAGTTGTTTTTTGAAATAAAATAAAAACATTAAAGATTACACAGTTATGTTTAACTATTACGTAGTAAAACGACCAAGGGTCAACAAGAAGTGTTGATTAGTTAGTTTCATAGTTCATAGTTCTGGATTTTTTAACATTATCATTTTTTTACTTTTTGGTTTTAATTTTACATCTAATTTAAGTAAAACAGATAGCTAACAAAAATAAACTGATATTTAGCCAATTAAAATTAGTACAGTAGAGATTGTTCATGATGGAAAAATATAAGGATAATATAAAATTAAAAATAATGACATAATTTTGTAAATTTAAATTAGCTGCTATGATAATAATCAGTTTTTCAACATCATTTTTAAGAAGAGACACACATGTTAGGGTTAGGATCTTATGGATCCAACTCCTAGGGTGCTTTTTTTTTAGCATACTTATTATTTTTGACCCCATATTAGACCTTAACACTTATTCACAATGCAGCATAGAATTATTATTAAAATTATTACTCAGCGAAAAGCGGTAGTTTTATTTTAATTAGGGAACAATCGGAAGATGTAAACTTTTCCTGGTTATTACAAGATTTGATACTGGAAATAAAATCACGAATGCAGTTAAAAATGTAAGGAAAAAAGTATAAATTCAAATGTCGAGTTTTTACCGAAGTTGTTACAATCGGTAAATTTTCCGTGTCCGTTTTAGCTTTTCAACGAATATTTTCTACTGTGCTTGTTTTTTTTCTCGTCTTAATGAAAATGTAATTTATTCTCCAGCCTGGTTTTAACGCTGCTTGACCCTAATTAAAAACGATCAAAAGAAAACTCGAACGGAGATATCGTCCATGTGTAAAACAATCCAAGAGGCCCGAGAGGCCAGCGGTTTGACACCCATTTTATGAAAAGAATCGGAGCGGAAAGTAAAAGTTAATACGGATGATTCTTACGAATACAAAGCGGGAATATGACTATTTGAAAAATTATATATGAAAATGTGTTTTCTTTAAAATAAAACTGAAAATTTTTTTGGCAGAATTTGACGAGTTATTTTAATTGATGTCATTTTTTAAACTGATGGACAAATTTAACGCAACAGACAATTTATTCAGTTTAAAATTAAATCTATTATCTTTCTTCATGAGTTACAGGTAATCAGAAGCTATCGTAATCAAAATAAGCATAAATGTAGCATATGCCCTTCCAGTCTGCTAGGTCTAAATATCGCTTTCAGTTAATCTTTTTCCTAGGCCGATTTCGTTCGATATTTGTCATATTCTTAATCCATTTTCAATGGCTGCAGTCAGGTATTTGAAAAGGAAAATAAATCTGATCCGAAATGTTTCTATTTCTTCTAGGACTGTAAAAAGAGGCACAAAAATAACCTCATGGCACCCGGCTCTTCTTTCCACACCTAAAAAAATTGCCAGGCTTCAATTCACATGTGAATTGGACATTGGAAGATTGGGGACGAGTTATCTTTACTGATGAGGTGAGAGTTGGCCTCAAATCTTCAGATGAGTTTAATTTCGTATGGAGACGTTCAGGAGAAAGGAACGTCCCATGCTGTACGGTTCCTCAGGTGGCGTTCTACGGGTGGAGTGGCCGCCCGTACCGAATTGGTTGCTGTGCCGTGTGCGAGGATCTGCGACAATCTTAGAGGTACTTAAAGACACAATCGAAGAACATGTATTGCCACCCCGACATCGGTGCAAGATTCTTGCTAATTCAGGATAATGCCAGGCCCACAGAGCAGGTATTGTGTATGACTACCTGGAATAAAGTTGGAATTGAGTATGGCCGGCTCGAAGTTCAAATTTGAACCCAATCGATCACATTTGAGACCAATAAGAAGGCGAAACCCAGGTCTTAACACCCTGGAAGAGTTGGAAATGAAAGAATTCCTCAGGATTTTACCAGAAATCTTTTCCAAGAATGCAATAGCGTTTAACGGAAATGTTTCCTGCCAAAGGTGGAATTATTCGCTTTTAAAGAGCGTATTTTTTATATTTTTATTTGTTTTGAATTTTCGTTTTTTTTATACTCTCAATAATTTTTTTAAACCTATTTTTGGTAAGCAAAACATGAATAAACCTAAATATATTAAAATTTAAGGTTTATGTGTTTAAGTGTGTTTATTTTGGCCATCGGTCTATTATCTTCTTCGCCTATTCTCACTGCTTTTATGTATTTTTGTTGTCGTAGCTTTCCTAAACTTACAACTCTGAAATCACCAACTTGTGAGTTTTGTCTCATCACGAGACATGTTTGGCTCGTTTTCACGGATATGAAGACAAATTCAAAATATTTTATGAACGACGTACATTAATTTTATTTGCGGAAAAAACTCGTTCGGTAATAATTAAAATTTATAAAATAATTCTGAGGGTTATTATTATTTATATTTCTGTTTAATTTATTTAAGAAATTAAGCTGTTCAAAGAAGTATGACGGGATCATTTTTGATCCGCCTTTCTCTGCGACCATTTTCTTAAGTGTTTGCAAATGTTTTAGGGCACAAAAAAACTTTGATGACTCTCAGCTGATGACAGGCTGTTTTAATACTGTTTTTTTTTCTCTAATGTTAGATTTTTACACTTATTTCTTTCTATTTATGCTATTATTATTAGTCTATTAGGAGCATTTCTGGAGCGAATCTAACTACTTAATGATACAGATAAAAACTC